CTTCTCTGGCCCCTTTCACCACCACCGGCAGCATGTTCCTACTTGCATGGCCTTAAGCATGCCGTGGTCACGAACACCTGCAGCCACAGCTGCTTCCCCAAAGCCCGGAGCCCACTGGTGGAGAGGGACAGACGTCGGAGTATCCGGTTACGGCCCCAGTGCCACGACTTACGTAGAAGACGGTGAAGAGCACCAGGATGGGTATCTGAAGCATGCAGACCTGGACAGCGATACAGCTCCCGATCTCAATGCTAGGGAAGAGGAGCAGACACAGCAAGTTAGCCCAAGCTCTAGGCTCCTAACTGCGTTCGAGCTATAGCTCCCTGCAAGGGGCAGAGGTCAGACCCCCTTCTAGAGCACTATCCAGACAATAGCCCCGGGTACTTCCCAGCCGGTTTCTTCAAACAGCGCAAGAGTAAAGATTCGTGCTGACGCGCGACCTCAAAGTCCCTGATCGCTGAAGTGTTCCAGAGCTCCAGCATGGGCTAGGAGGCCCCATTTATGGTTTGGGGCTCTTCTCCCACACACAGGGGGACCCATCATAAGTTGGAGAGGGTCCAGCTGTCAGGGAGGGGCAGTGCCGTGCACTCAAGACGGTGGAGATGGAGCAGATATCTTCTCCTTGTGAAATCATATTTGGGATCAGTTTCTAGCAAGAAGCAATGGGACAAGGACAAGCAACAAGGGGCTTAAATTGCAGCAAGGGAGATTTAGGTTGGACATTAGGAAAAAACTTTCTACCAGGTGGTGAAAGTGGAATAAGTTGCCTGGGGAAGTTGTGGAATCTCCATCTTTGGAGATATTGAAGAGCGAGTTAGTCAGGGATGATCTAGACCAGCATGTCTTAAAGTATTAAAGTTCCGCAGCACGCCGGTGTGCCACGAGGCAGTTGGAGGTGTGCCGTGGAGAACAGAGTTTAAAATGGCCACCCTTAAAAGGGCATTGCCCTTTTCTCCTGATAAAAGGGCAAACTGTTCGGTCTTTTTTGCTTAACTTCTTTTCCCTGTCCATTTTTGTTGCTTTGTCTTGCTCAACAACTTTTCCCAGTCTCTTTTTTGGGAGGGAGGAGGTCCCACAACTTTCCCCCTGGGAATGGCCGCCTTTAAAGGGGTAAGCCTTTCTTTTTGTTCAACAAAAAATCCTTGGTGATCCCCATAAAAAAAAAGTTGTTTGGTGTTTCGCGATCTTGAAAAGTTTAACACACATTGATCTAGACGGTGCTTGGTCCCGCCATGAGGGCAGGGGGCTGGACTTGACGACCTCTCAAAGTCCATTCCAGTTCTAGTGTTCTGTGATTCTATGGGCTCCTTGGAATGGGCTTCAGGCCAGGTAACTCCTGCGCTAGCTATGGATCCTGGCATGCCCAGCGCCACCTTCCCACCAAAGTCCATGAGAGCTGCAGTGCACCAAGCAGTTTCCCGGGATCGGGGGCACACCCAGCAGCTCCTTACCCTGACATGGGCCAGTCTGCATCTCCAGCAGCAGGGAGTGGGGATGTGGAACCCTTAACTCTGGAGTTTAGATGGGCTGGCTTAGACTTTTAAGGCTCTAGGAAGACTGGATCTTCCATGCTTCCATAACCAGAGCCAGGGAGCAGACGGCTCTTCCCTTCCCCCTACATCCCACCCCTGGGAGCCAAGACCTCAATTACAGCCAGCAGTGGATTTCCACCAACCCCTCTGGAGAGCCCGCAGATGATTTCCAACACTGCATCTCTGGACGGGAGCCCTTCCTCCTAGAGCAGGGGTGGGCAAGAGGCATCCTGCTGCCCAGGTGCCGCTCGACAGGGTTCATTTGCGGCTCCCGGGCTGGGCCACGGCTCCCCGCAGCTCCCACTGGCTGGGAACAGCGAATTGCCGACACTGGGAGCTGCAGGTGAGTCTGGCAGCCCGTCAGGGGCTAACCCTGGCAAACAGCATGTGGCCTGCAGGCTGCTTACTGACCACCCACCTTGCAGGGTTCCCGGGTGCACCTAGAACTCTAGCTCACGTACCAGCCGCATCTCAGAGCTTTAAAGGAGGTTTCCTACTGGGCAACGTGGAGACGACCCGGCGTCCGTTCACGCTGCTCCTGGAAGCCCTGGGCAAACCCCAGCCTCTGGCCACGCGCAAGCACCCGCAGAGGCCCTGCCAGGGCTGGGGAACTCACCTCAAGCTCAGGTTGTTCTGCAGGGCAAACTGGATCCCGTTGACGAGCTCGGGCAGCTCGGGCACCATGGCCAGCACCGTCACCCCGATGAAATACTGCCAAGGAGAGAGAGTCAGCGCAGGGCCAGCGAACTGCTCTGCCCCCTCCGCGGCCATGCCGGGCCTGCGCTGTACGGCAGCGGGCTCCCAGCTCGGGGCGTCTGCTCCTTGGGAAGAAAAGCAGCTGGCCTAGGGCAGCCTCAGTCAGTGGTGGGCAGTCGAGGCCAGCAAGACGGTCGCAACCAAGACGGTCTCCCGAGATGGGGGAGTTTTGCTCCCTGCACTTGGTACCTAGAACTTGCAGGGGGCAGGCCAACTGTACCGCAGCAGCGGTTTGACTGGCTACAGAGGGAGCGTCCGGCTTGCAGCCCGCCCCTCACTTGACATGCCCCGGCTTTACGTGGGGGTCACGGCAGTAATACGGGTTGGGAACAGCCTATACAGATGGAGACTTGCAGCATCTGGCAACCCTGCAGAGGAGCAACTGTGCAAAAGGGCTCGTGGGCCACACACAGAACCCTGGTGGGCAGCAGGGCGCCCACCGCTGCTCTAGATCAGTGTGTCTCAACTAACCAAGTGAGTTATAAGATCAAGAACACATATTCCTGCGCATCCAGAAATATAATCTACGCTATCATGTGCCGAAAGTGTCCGTCTGCTATGTACATTGGACAAACATCTCAGACACTTCGCCAAAGGATTAATGCCCACAAAACAGATATCAGACAAGATCACAAAGAGAAAACAGTTTCTTGCCATTTTAACCAGAAAGGACACTCTCTCAATGACTTGACCACCTGCATTCTGCTACAAAGACCTTTTACATCTGCACTTGAAAGGGAATCCTCTGAACTGTCATTCATGTTAAAATTCGACACTTTCCAACAAGGACTTAGTTCAAATGTTTGTTATCTCACCCATTACCAAGATAGTTTCCCCAATTATCACCTCTAATACCATTAACTCACAAACATCCCACTCTCCCTACCTCTAATATCATCAATTCACAGACACTTACCTTCCTTCCTCCCCCTCCCCCACCCCGCATCTCCCTTCTGTTCTGCAATGTGATTTGTCCTTTTCATATTTGTTCTTTTTTTTAATTGTATCCTTTGGTATATATGGTTGTGACTATTTTCTTCCACTATTTGATCTGAGGAAGTGGGTCTGGCCCACGAAAGCTCATCATCTAATAAACCATCTTGTTAGTCTTTAAAGTGCTACATTGTCCTGCATTTTGCTTCAGCTACCCCAGACTAACACGGCTACATTTCTATCACTACTCCCTTTAAAAAAGTGTCTAAGTACCCCCAGCACCTACCGTTTTCAGACCATTTTTCTTTTTCTACCATTGCAACACATTTGTTTAAACAACTTAATCGTAGCTGGATGGGCGATGAAATTTTTGGGTGTAAAAAGTACAAAAATAGTAAAAGCGCCATAAAAACGTAAAACATTCAGTTCTTCACTTTTCAGTTGTGTTGACGTACCTCCCAGACTTCTCTCGAGTACCCGAGGCTACTCGTACCACTGGTTAAGAAACACTGCCCTAGATCCAGCGCCCAGGCAGGGGGCTGAGAGGTTCTCCAGGGGGTCTATGGGTGTGCCCCCAGGGCCAGCGCACCCTGCAGGAACACACGCACCTGGAGAAGATGCGGCATGACCGGTGACAGGCGTGAGCACACAGACGGCATCTCCCCCTCCCATGGGGCTGGGCAGGCACTCTGGTACCAAGGAGCATTCACGGAAGATGGGTCCGTCCATGAGGGTCGGGGACGCAGCCCCCCAGCTGCGAGTGTTCTACAGCCCGTGGTTCTCAGCCTTCCCAGACCACTATAGCCGTGCCATCAGGGGAGCTTCGAGTACCCCCTGGTGTGGGGCCCAGGAAACTGCCCTGCTTCCCCCCCTACCTCAAAACAGGTCCTGTGAGCTTCCTGGGCCTTGCAACCCCCAGGGTGAGAAATGCTGAACTCGAGGAGCTGGCGTACCCCCGAGAAAGCCTCCGCCTACCCCACACGGTCCCCTGGCCGAGGGCCCTGGCAGCCAGAGGCGTGGGATGCCAAGCCAGGGATCACTCGCTCATGGCCCGCTCCGTTCACCCTCTCTGAAGCGCCTGGCACTGACCACGGCGGGCAACAGGAGGCTGGGCTAGAGGGACCAACGGCTCGACCCAGCCTGGCCACTCATGGGAGGAGCCAGCCCTCCCTAGTCCAGCATGTTAGCGGTACCAGGCCCACTCAAACCCAGCCGGGTCACTAAATGGTGCCGACTCCCCCGGACCCAGCCAGAGGCTTCCCCCTCTGGACGTTTGGGTCAGTGGCCCCCGGCTCTGGGTTTAGACCCACTCCCCTGTATTCCAAGCCAGGCTCCCTACAGGCAGACGGCTCCTCACCTGCGAGACGGTGGAGTTGGAGAGGATGGGGCTGATGTGCTCCGTGGCCAGGTCCGCGCAGGCCGACATGCACAGGGTGGAGAGCAGGAGGATGAGCAGGGCTCTGCAGCGGGACCAGTGGACCACGGCGCTGTGGTGGTGACCGGGCACTGTGCAAAGCAAGGAGGTGCGTGAGCAGAGCCGGCCCCGGCCCACGAGGGAGTCCCACGTTGACTCAGCCCCACCCGAGAGCTGCAGCCTAGGGTCCCGCTCAGCCGCCCGGTTACCCCCGGGAAGGGGAGACGCTACCCGAGCTTCGGGTGGAGCCAGCTTTGCCCCCCAGGGGCCTCACCCTGCCCCCGAGTCTGGGGGTTTGGAGCCTGTGCATGGGCAGGTTCAGTGACCGTTCCCTGCCCCGGATTGGGGACTTGAATGTCAGTTCACCTGTGGGGCTCAATAGCGCCGACCGGGAGAGCACCCAGTCTCCCCTGGGTGCCCCCCTTGCGGCAGGAGGGGGCTGT